GATTCCCCTGACTATTCCAGAGGTATTTCCTAGCTGTGAACCGCAATTGTGTCGTTACCACTTACTCAGCTAAGAACTACTTTACTGGGAAACTACAATTTATTTTAATTTGCGCCTCTGCCGGCAACTATCCACGGGCTTTATATGGGGCTGGGACACGCCCACTCTCAACCGATAAGCCCGAGCATTATGCAAATTCTAACTGAGCATAGGAAAAAGTACGGCGATGAAGTAGCACCTCCAGAGCAGCAGCTAGTAATGAATACTAATTCGCTCATTAGGGCGGTGATGACATTTTCGGGTGGGCATTATTTCCACTTAGCCGGCGTCCGGGAGTGGGTGGTATTCTTCACCTGCTTAAAGCAAAAGTTTCGCTTGTCACACATATGAAATATTAAAGTTAATTAAGTGAATGTGACACTGCCGGAATCCGAAAAATACTTCAGTATGAGAGTTTACGAGTGCGGGGCTCCTTGCTGGTGGTTGGAGATAATTAAGAATTTAATTATTTACACACCACCCATCCACCCACCACCTACACATCGCAGTGTTTATTAGCTTAGACACACACATACGTAATGCTTATGCAAACTGAAGGCTTTTTGGCAGATTTCCACCAGGATGGTGCACCAATATTCATAATTCCTCATGAAAGCCTGGCGATTTTTGGAGGTTGAGCTTGAGGGTAGGGGATTCACTTTTAAGCCTCGTCCTTGCACTTTGCATTGTTCCTGCCACGTAACAAAAGCAAAGTGTTTGCCTTTGGGCTTTTATGTCATTGGATTGTTTACTCCTAATTGAAGGAGTGTTGGCCCGTGCCTGTTTGCATTGAACAGTTCAACGCAGTTCATACGCATTGCCATTTGATTGTGTCAACACTTTTCCCTCCAATTAACTCAGCCCCTCTGTTTGCGTTGCGATGGCTCTGCCAATGATCTCGGCCATTGCCAATTTTTGCCACTGCCGAGTTTTCCAGCGCATCGCCACTATTGGCAATAATGGCTGCCTTTCACTTTCGCTTTTGGCCAGCGACAAAAAGTGTTGGCAAATTACCTCGACCCGTCAACAAGTTGTTTGACAAATGAGTAAACAATAAAGCATGACACGTTATTTTATGGCGGTGATGCATTTCATTTATTTCACACCCATCATTAAGGCCAATAAATGCTGTATTAAAGATATCACTAAAAGGAAAATCTATGCTTCTGGAGAACTCCACATTGATATTTATTTAGACTTAAAATTTAAAGCTCCTTTACATTATTTACCTTGCTACTCCTTAGCTTGGGCACCTGTCCCCGTCAGTCGCAGTGGCATCGCGCTATGTTTGTCAAATTAAAAATACAAACTCGTGTCAGTTTTCCTTTGGGGGGCGTGAAATGCCGACGACAGGGGCCGGGAAGAAAGGCACCACGCATCAGGCTGCGACATCGACAACAGGGCGACAGCAGCAACATCACGTGGCAACAACAATACCATAAATAACAAAAGCAAATGCGAGGAAGTTTTCGCGGGGGTAAGGCTGCCGACGACCAGGACGACAGGTATCCTGGCAAGGATGGGAGAGTCCGGGGTGAATCCGCACTAGAAACGGCGGTAACAGTCGCAGCGTATTTGACAATAGAAATTGCATTGAAAGAAATTATAAGAAAGTAATCGCAAGTCTAACCATTTAAAATCACTTTGAAGTAGTCCTTTTTTCTCGGTGTCGTCTAACGAGCTGGGGGCTGGAAAAAAGCGAGGGTGTATGCAAGAAAATATTTACAATCAAGTCGATTAACAAAAGGAAACCTTGTGACGCGCACTTTGAGTTTTTTCTGTTGTTTCCAGGAGCTTTTGTTCCTTCGCTTTCTCCTTTTTTTTTCATTCACCCGCAGTATGGTTGATTTTTCCCCACTCATTTTTGCTTTTTTAATTAAAAATCAGTAGACCCGTGACGTCGCTCCCAGAGCCGGAGCCTCTTCAGCTTTAGACTGTCATCAGCGCCATTTGGCAAATCAACGTAATCATTGCATTGCTCCTCCACCTCCTTCCCTGCTGGTGTCTTTGTTGTCCTCCTCCCTCCTACTACAACAAAAATATTTTTCATAAATATTACGAAGCAACACTTGAGTTTTTTTTTGCCACATTTCCCCGGCAGCAGCAACAATTCATAAGCAGCGTCGGCGACGTCATCATTAGGGAAACATTTGCCGCCTACACACTGCTCCTTGCTCCTGCCCCGTGTGTGTGTCTGTGTGTGCGGGTAAATTGTGGCATCTCCTGCTGCTTTCTCCATGCCACTGCTCTCCACCTCCAGGGTCTGTGCTTATTGTCTTAGGAGGAGAAGTTGCTGCCGAGATTGGCAAGAGGATTGGGGCGGCGTATTTCGCTTTTCCTTGGAAAGGCCCTCTGTTTCTGTTGCAGGATTACAAAAGAAGACTTTCTCCACTGTAAATCTAGTACTTGTTAATTTTTTAAGATCAGAAAAATCATTTTGCTCAAATTTCTTAAGAATATCTTTAAGAATATTGAATTTTCTAGTCATAAAAGGACAATGAAGTATCGGTTTTTTATTACTAAAGCCTTAAGTTCGTTTAAAAATCTTTAAAAATGCTCATACCTTATAGCTTTTATTCTTTCACTGAACTTAGACTTACCTCTTCCATTTATAACCTTTCATTTTTTTCTCTGATTTAACCCATTTATTTCCACTGTGCAACATTCACTGTTCAGCAAGCAATTGCAACATTACGTTTTTTCTGCGTTCTTTGGCATCCGCCCCTTTCAAGTGCCCGCCACTCCTCCTTTCTACTTCCCCCCTTTTTTTTCAAGTGTGTATATATACTCTGCAAATTTTTCACTTTACGACTTTCACGTTGTTTATGCAAATAGGCGAAAATGCTATTTGAGTTTAGCAGAAAAGAATTATGATAACGCGATTGTCAACAGCAGCCTTGATTTTATTTTATTTCATTTCACTTCAACTTTTCACTTTTTTTTTGTCTATGGCTGTGAGATACCGTTATGATTATGACAGGGCGCCATGTTGTGTGGGGGAAGTAAAAAATATTAATAACTACAACCCCCCCTTGTATGCTACGCGACACGTGCTACAAGCCGCACAACAGTTGATGTTATTGCCTCCCCTTGTTTCTGTTTCTGTATTTTTTTTTACAAAGTGTAAATTGCTTTAATACTTTTTAGTGCTCTGGGGAGCGCCATCTTGCATCGCGTTGTGGCGGCAGATGTGACAAACTGGCTGCCACGCCTCCGACACCCGACAGCCTCCCTGCCACACGGCCAACTTTCAACTTACACGTGTACGCTGCACGTTCAAATCTCAACTTTTACGACCTCTGCAGGATATTATCGTTGTTGTTACACTAGCTTTTTCTTTTTTTTTTAACTTTTCTTTTGTTTTTTTGGCTTCTGCAATGACGTTGACTGTTACCTGTTGGCCATTGTTGCACAGAAAAAAATAAAATCAATCAAAAAGATAATAAATCTTTCAAGCTTTATTGAACTTAAAAGGAATGAGGAATTCATCTTGCAGATTTCTTATGCAAGTATTCAATTATGAAGACTTTTGGTTTTTACTTCCTCATTTAAAATTTATTACCTCCTTATATGATTTTTTTAATAACCAAATAAGTATGAAAAATGCTCTTTTAATTAAAAGTTTTTATGTAAGTTACATCTAAAATAAATGTTATATTTTTGTTTCACTGCAAGCACCTGCTCCTGCACCTGCACCTTTCCACCTGTCAGGTGCTTTTTGGCAAACGCCAAGTACATTTGCGGACATCTCCCCATCGGGTGACTGCGTGTCGCAGTTTTAATCAAAATTGTTTCATGAATTGTTCAGTTGTTTCAACTGTCAAATAAAGTTTTGACGCCGACCCCCGCTTTTCGGGGAAAACTCCGGGCAATTAAAATACTTTGGCTGTTTCGTTTGTTTTCTGCCAGTTCGTCTGTTGACTGTTCTCAGTTTGGCTATCATTAGTTGGGCAATTTCGCTTGTTATTTGTTCGAGTGACAAAAAAAAAGGAGTACAAATTAACACTAAATGCGGAAAATTAATTTATTTGCTTTCTGCTCTCATTACAGCTGAAAAATAAATACTTTGTTCGAAAGCGGGCTCCGCAATGGGCACTTAAAGGGAGAGTTCTAAAAGTAAGTACTTATTTGAATCATTTTATAAATAAATATAACTAGTTAGCCTATAACAAGGAGTAATTATTTAGGTTGTTATGGGATTATCTACTCTCTAAGAATTAGATTCTAAAATCTGTGTCATAGAAACGAGTTTAATAAAGTTGATATGGATTAATTTCACGAATGAGTCTCGTAAAGACAAAATCTTAATGCCATCTTAATAATATCTTTAATACCCCTAAAACATACAAGATGGCCTTGTTAGCAGTTGAAATATTTTTAATGAAGAAGCCCCTGCCACAAAAATAATAACCACAAAGTCCAATTTCCATTGATTGGTTTTCCATTACCGCGTCAATTCCATTAGCCAGTTACCTGGGCGACCCGGATGATGGGGCCTTGCTCGATTACCACATTTTCACCCGGCCCGTAGGCATAATGACCAGCTAATGTGGCAACAAACCGCCCAAAGGCCGTACTTTTGGTCCTCCCTTGGCGGCCCCCCTCGTCCATCTCCTGGCTGCCATGTGATATGGGTCAATCACTAAACGGCCTGAAATGTGTCAAATGGCCCGAAGACAGCAGAGCAATCATCAGTTGCCAGTTGCAACCAGTAGCACCAGCCAGGCCAATAAACGCAACCAGAATCCGGCTCAAAGCCAGAAGCACTCAATCGAGAAAATGCCACTCCGCTCAGGTGGGTTTCACCTGTTGTACCTGCACTTGTTGCCGATCGTGAGCGAGTGAGAGAGGACGAGAGCGAGTTGTGGTGAGTTGGTGGTGAGTTTGACCTGCACCAACCTGGCTAATACCCGGTTCTGCGGCTGAGCTGCCTTTCGGCCATCTACAACTTTCTACTCAGAGGCTATCTTCAGTTGCTCGAGCAGCCCCGAAGCGAACGGTGTGAGAGCTGCGACTCGTAAATCATAAATATTCATTCGAACTGATTCGAACTGATCGATCGCGCGCGATTGGCAGACGACTGCACGTAATTGGAGCAAGCGGAGTGCCCGTTAATTGCCGGCAACAGTAATTGCCACTTGCCGCATTCCGAAGGTGTTCCCCGGTCCTGTTAATGTGTCAATTGATTGATTGCGCGACCCACTGATCACGATGCTCTCGAAGAAGCGCTGGTGGAAGATCTGCCTGCCCCAAGTGGCCAAGCCGGATCCGGCCAAGAACTACCGTGAAATCATTGGCTTCAGCGACTGCCCCTCGGTGCTGGCCACCACTCTAGATGGGTGTTCCAGCACCTCCACTTCCACAGCCACCACGGCGAGCAGTGGCAGCCCCACGCGGCACCGCAGCTGCGACAGCCTGTCCAAGAGCTCCCAGGCGGAGGCCAGCAAGCTGTTCCCCCGAAACATGCCCAGTATACGGAGGAGTCGTCGTCGGACGGTGTCCGCAGAGCGGGAGCGCTTGGCTAGCCGGGAGCGGCTGGAGGAGCGGGTCCAACCAGCAAAAATGCCAGAGCCCAGTGCCGCCCAGTCCCGCCTGTCCACGGTGACCAAGCTGACCCCCCGGAAGCAAGTGGGTGGTCGAGCCACTTGCTCCAAAAACCGTGGCGTTCAGCCCGTGAAGTGCATCATCAAGTCGGCCGTGCGCACCAAGACCAAGCCCAAGCCGAAGCTGACCCTGGCGCCCTATGAGATAGCCCTGGAGCTGCCCAATGAGTCGCCTGCCCCCACTCTGGCCATGGCCGTGGCCCAGAGCAAGCCCCACCACGAGGAACAGTTCCACTCCTCCGGAATCTCCTGCAACGGGGAAACGGACGACGACGTGGAAGTGGCCATGCTGACCGGCAGTCTAAGTGCCACCCAGCTGGCCAGGATCAAGGGGCAGAGTGTGGCGCCCGTGACTCTGCCGTTCGGCGACTTGAGGAATCTAAATCTCTGCCGCAACCGTAGCGCCGTCTGGCTTAATCCCAACGATACGGAACAACTAATCGAACTGGACCGGAGAGAGGCCCACTGCTACTTCAACAAGGCCATTGCCGACGATATCCAGCTTAGCGATATTGAAGAACAATTGGCCAGGTTTGATGGCCACTCAAAGAGGCCGCCACCGCCATCAGCGACAGCAGCCAAAATGTAAGTCTTCTGTGGGCCTATCTCTAATGGCCATAACTCTCGGTGATAAGTGAATGAAGGGAGAGGGGATGAAGGCTTCGGGGGGATTCTGGCCAACTAATTTGAAATCCATTTGATGAGCTTTGCATTTTCGTTTTTAAGTGACTATAAAGTGGCTCGCTGGCTCAGTGGCGGGGGAAGTTTATGGGCCAATTTAATGACTACTTAATAGCTTTATATGAACGCCTTCCAGAGCCAGTCAGGGTTCTGAGCCAAGTCTCTCTCTTTTAATCATTGAACTCATATTTAATAGCTTTCTAAATTAAATAAGTTATGCAAGAGTTATGTGATAATTTAATGTCATTAAAAGTCGGTTTCCGGAAATGTTTCATTTAAGACTTGACCTGAATTATATTATGTACATAGAATGATTAAATAGCACTCCTTATTTAGTAGCTTCTTCGATATAGTTAATTCCTTAAAAGTACACTGGTAGGTGTAAGATTTCCCATTCAAAACGGCTTAGATGCTACAGAAGATACATCTTCCATAAAGCCGTTTATGATTGGGTATCTGCGACTTTGTATCTTCTGAAGGTATTAAATGGCCTGACAATTAATCATTTTAGCCTGATCAGCGGAAACTTGTTGGCCCGGCGACTCAGTTTCAATTGTGTTGATAGTAAGAAGTATCTCTCAGATCGCAGCCAAAAATAATGGCAGATATAATCCGGCGTAAGAGGCTCAGTCATCTAGGGGCGACTGCCGCGCTAAGAAGGTGTTATTAATGCCCAACTATTTGCAAAACTGACACTGAAAACTTATTTATCAAGTTGCTGGCCAGCACGTGTTCGGCCCCCACTGCCCTGCCTCTGCCACTGCCCCTGCCCCTGGGCCTGCCCCCTTTTGTCGGGTTCTGTTAACTGGAAAATGAATTGCATGCAGCTAAGTGGCAACAGCAGCAGTTGGTTGGCCCTTGCATGAGTTTGGGCCTAAATGGAGTTGGCAGAACTTCGGGTCCACTGAGCGGGCCATTCTCGCCAGGCTGCCGTGTCACTTTGTGTTTGCATCCAGCCCGAGGAGCATATCATAAATTCCATGGCCGGACTCCGTAAATTAAGTTCTTCCTTGCCGCCTGAGCAGCATCTTGCACCATCTCGCCCTTCATCGGCCAGAGATGGGTCGTATCTCAAAGATCTTGGCCACATTTTGCCACCTTTTTGTATTTTTCGCATTCGCATTCCGTTCGCCTCGCCGCATTTGCATTTGGCCAAAAACATTCTTGTTCATAAATCTGCGCCAACCGATAATTAGATTTTCGATGTTCGGCTGCGGTCGTAAAGACTCATGGTATGGTTTGGGAAAGTGTGCGGCCGGCCTTGTAATCTGAGCCCTTGCACTCGCTCGACCCATTAGCAATCAGTCGGGCCTATTAAATTTCCAGCTTAAATAAACCAAAATCAATATTGACTGGCGGCTACTTAAAGCGTAATTAAGCGGCTGGCCGGCCAGAAGAACACTTTGCATAGGAATCTGCTCCCCGGCGAGACTCAACAATAAAATAAATAAATAAGACTGCCGGTTGGTCGGCCCTCTTGCTTTGGAGCCAGGCTAATTGAAGTTGGCGAAAAGCAAAAGGCCAGCCAACCACCAACAGTCCGGGTTTCTGGAGAACCAGGTCCCTGGAGCACTCGGGTGGTCCGCTGGCGGCTTATCGGTTTACGATTTGCTTTGATTTAAAAATGAGCTACGCATTTGATTTTAATTGCATTCGATGTGCGCAGTAGTTGGAGATTCTGTGGTTCTCTTGACCATGATATATGGCATTTTAATTGAAATGGAAAAGAGGCCGCCAAACAGGGAATGGGAATGGGGAATGGAGCATCGGGTATGGGGTATGGGGTATGGGGTATGGGGGCTGGGCATTAATCTGACTTTAACCGATTCGCAGACATATCAAGTAACGCCCCTTTAATGCTCTGCGCCCCAGTGAAGCGAAGCGAATTTTTTCTCTTCGGCTGGCTTTCTTCAACAATGTATAGTTTCTAATTAATTTTTGCTTTAATTGCAAACGGGGCGTATGAGCAATTTCTCCAACTGTCAGCCAACGAATCTAATCACAGCCTCTTCTTGGCTTTTCAAATCCGAAAGTTCAACCTCCTCCTAAACGTGTGACACAATCGCCAGCGAAACTGTTGGATAAGCCCGTCCAAAGAACACATAATGGGCCCCAAGTCATTGTCTCAAAGTGGCTGAGGAGTCAGAACCCGGGGTTTATTGATTCAACACCTAATCGTGAATCCATAAAACGCATTAACAAAAACACAAGACTTACAAGTGAATGAGGCAGCCGACAGACGAGTTGATTGATTTCGTCTCGAGTCGGAGGAAATTCAATTTATAATCAAAATGCAGGGAGAAGACCCTCGGGGGAGCAGAAAAAAAAAGATATTTTGCCAAGCAGAAAATGTGTTTATAAAATAAAATCGAAAACCGCAAATAAAATTAGCCAAACAGAGAGATGGTTCTACAGGGGTATTGGGGGCGGAGATGGCAAATCGAAGGGCGTTGCTTTGGAAGCTTATTATGTTTCCTGTTCTCCCCGGTGGATTATGATTATCTTTTCTCCCCGGCCACGATTCAGAGTATACTGTCAAACACATTGTATCTGTATCTTCGCGGCTGGATGGGAGCAATTTAGTGGCCATAAGTCAGAGGAGTCAGAGGAGGCGGCAGAGGTCGAGCGGCTCGTTTGGAGCGTGTGTAAACCAAGTTAAGTGCTCTAGCCATGATCAGGAATCGGCATTGAACGATAACCAGTCTCCGCATTGTTGCGTTTAATTTTCGTAATTTATGTTTAATTGAAAATGGCCTAGGAGGAGTGCGCAGTCCAATGTAATTAATTTAATGGCCATCGCTTTGTTCGCTAAATACAGGTGGGCAACAAAGCCAAAGCCAAAGCCAAAAAGCCAAGTTTCTGTGCCGTCATGCCCCCTTTTACAAATTGTTGCCGAATTGTGGCAAGCAACTGCGAGCTCGACCATTACCAAATCGTAATTGCAGACATCTCGAGCTGCCCACACACCGAATTGATTTGCCATTGGGTGCTAAAAATATACATTTTAGAAATTGCCATCAATCAGACGACGTCGGAGACGGCGGCGGTGGCCTAATGAGAACCAAATGCAAATACGCCAATCTGGCACAAATGTCACTTGGCCGAAACGCTTGTGAAAGCGTCTGGCCAGCTATCTCGGCCACTTCGTCCGCACAACTCTGCCAGCGCGCTGGAACTCGAGTTGATAATCGTGATTTTCTTGAAATATTTTAGCTACTCGAGTCGAGATTTCCGCAAATTAATTTCACCTCCCCACCTGCCAAGCACTTTTCTTCGGAGAAAGCAAAACTGCAGTTGCTGCACTCTAAATATTGGATAAGAAATCTTCACCGAAAGGTAGAAGCTGTATGACAGACTTTTTTGAAGATTAAAACCCCACACGGACCAAACTTTCTTCAAGTGTGCCTATCCCCGATTGTAATTTGGCCAAGAAAAACACGTGTACTCTGCCCCATCCATCCACCTACGGCAACTCTCGGAGATCGGTCGCAGATATGGAGCCCCCGGGAGGACGTGAGGTGGGTCAGTCGGTGTCGGTTGTTGACTCTCCGGGCACAATCGTCAGGCATCAATCCTACAGCCCGATCGGAGCAGTTCCCATATGTCGCACCGCCTACGCGACTGGAAGCGTTAATGAGACGCTTAGGAGTTGAAATGCTGCGCCGTTGGGCTTCCAAGTCGGCCCTACAAATGCCACTTGATAAATTGGAGTCTCGCCACTTGCGGCTGCAGTTGCCACAACCAACATCGACGACGACGACGACTCGCATCTAACGGGTCTCTAGACGTTCTAACAAGATCCTGTTTGCCTCTCCGGTCTTGGCCATTCAGGCTTCATTAGCAATCGCCGCGAAGCCAGAAGCAGTAAAAGTTGGAGGGGCTTCGACTTGCCATTTTCCCATTTTCCCTCTCGAGCAACCACCAGCCCGAGAACCAGACCGAACTGAATGCTTTTCCCGGCTTCCTGGTTGCACCCAAGTGCATTAATCTAATGCAAGCTCGGTGTGTCTCCGTGCGTCCAGGTCCCTGGATCGGGCTTGGGCTCGGGGGTCTCTTCGGAGTCTGGATGTTTGTGTGCCGGCGGCTGTGTCAAGACGCTCGGACACTCAGGCCAAACATTTGATGACTTAATTGCGCATTTTAGCAGATACACATGAATGCGGCTAGAAGCCCAAAGCCACTTGGCAGTGCACTGGGGGAAATGGTTCTCAAATAAGCTAATTAAGTCCAAAGACTAGGAAGTGGGTAATAAAAGGGTCTGGTACTCATATCTACTTGTTAGCTAGCTATCTCCAAGCCCTCATGTTTACCCCTAGTTGTCCTATTTCTCTCAGTGTAGTCTGAGGAGATTCCCCTGTGATGCACTATACAGCTTTATTTTGACAGGCGGCGATTAGAAGACGACGTTGCCTTCCTAAATCTTCCTCCTGGCCCCCAGCCCCTTTCTCACCCGCCCCACTCTTCTTTGTTAATTGAAATGTTGTTTTTGCCCGACGATGCAGATGCTGATTCTGATGTTTGTTTGTTTCGCTGTCCCCATAGCCGTCCCGGGCCCCATACCTTCTGGCAGACTGTCTGTCAGATGCTTGTTGCTTTTGTCAGTTGTCATGTTCTGAGCGGGGACCTACACGATTTTGACATTGGCATGGCGATTTCCATTACAGTTACAGTTAGCCCAAACCGTGTGAGTGTCCGCTTGTCCATCTCTCCTCGTGCTCATGTAGGAAGTCTCGGCGGCTGATCAAACGTCGTGTCCACATGCAAAAGATAATCCGTTTACGACTCAATGGCATTCCGATTGGAAATTGAAAATTGGAAATTGCAAACTGGCACAATTGCGTGAGCTGTGTATGAGAAAGTGTCCATCCAACCCCAGCTCTCCGAGTGACATCAATAATTATTAT